TTAGAAAAATTTCTTATGTGAATATTACTTTGATATAGTTGTAGGAATGATTTTCAAACCTAAAACCGCTTCACAAAAATGCACAGCAGCAGAAGAAAAGTGAGCATTACTTTTAAGGACATGTCTGCCCATTGTGCTGGGCAATCCATCCTTACCACTTGGAGCCACTTCACTACTAAGACAGTGGTAATATTTTGGGTCCTTTTTACACAATCAGAGCATAGTTCATATGTCGTTTATGAACTCCCATACATATTGATATGTATAGACCCAACAGAGCAATTCCCTGTCCTAAATGTTTGTCATTGTTTGGAGGAGTTACATAGTACATTTGGTCTTTTATAGCTTACATAGAATCTGTTTTGGGAATATAGTTATTCAAGATAATTTTCTAAATTAAAATAACTGATTTACTCATTAATTAATTCCTCATGTTCACCGGCTGAATAAGTTTTTTTTTTTTTTTTAATGTTTGCAATTTATAACTTAGTGCAATATTCATTTTCACAAATGCCAAATATATTAGATCATGTTCATGGTGTAGTCGATATAATAAGCCCAAGCTTATGCGTCAGCCTTTAATTCACAAACAAGAGATGTGTTTAATAACAAAGTGCTAGGGTTTTTGTAAATCATTTCAATTATACCTGCCAGATTGCTGTACTCAGACAATTTTGTGTGCCAATGTTTGCACATTACCATCCAATGTAAAAAGATCTTATCTATTTACATTTTCTTTCTATCTTTTTTTGTTGTTTTAGAATATAATGTTACCAGCTAAAATGCCTCATATTTCATTATAATGCACAGTTGTTTATTGACTCAAAAATTAAAACCGCAAATATGCAGTGCAGTGCACTGTGCTTTGACACTTGCACTGCATACAGTTAAAGAAAATAAGTGATTCACAAACAGGTTTGTCATCTTCAATCATGCTGTATCCTGTCTGCAACGCTACTACTGAAACAGTGTTGGCAGGGTTCAATTGAGCAGTAAACTGCAGCCACACACTGTGTGCATTATGGAGAAAAAAAGCTTGCAATTTCTCAAGCACAAGCAGTGGCACAGAAGCACACAGGAAATCAAATAATGTGGCTTTGACAAGAAATAGAGAAAGATCACACAGGGTTATTCACTAAAGTTAGCTTTTCAGGTCAAAGTAGTTGAACTGGAAAACTTATCCCAGTCAGTTACTTTGGCCTTCAATTTGAAATCCATGTTGAATTCCCTGCAATTCTCATTTTAGCAAATAACCCTGACAGCGTAACAAAAACCAGTGCCCTGTCAGCTTCTACCAACTGCATGTTCAGACACATCACAAGATTCAGCCAGGCAGGGTGAAATTACTGAAATCAGCAATGAATGGCATTTGAAAACATTACATTCACTATTATATTAACCATGACATCTTCAATACGTTATCGCTACAAAAAAAGAAAAAAAAAAGACCTGCCACACTCAGGCAGGATTCACTTGTGCAGGAAACTGCAGCCATACACTCTGTATATTACGGAGAAAAGAGATTACAATTTCCAAAGCACAAGCAGTGGCAGAGAAACACTGCATATCAAACAATCCACCTCTTACTAGAATTCAAATACATAAATCACCAATCAGTAAAACAATTTTTAATCTGTGAATTATAGTGGGTGTAAGTGGAACTCGGGAAGGCAACGCTATATAAGGGACCCAATTCGCAGTGGCCGGCATTAGACCAAATTACAGGGGAGATTGTGGATATAGGGCATGGAGGCAGGAGTGGAACAAGCAGCAGGTGAGGTAGCGGCGTGAGGAAGTGCCGTACTGAGGTGTGCATGGTGGGCGCCATGGCATAGTGAGATCAACCCTTCACTAAGCCTCTACTAAGCCTTCCTTGCTGCACAATTTGAACTTTGGAAGTTGATCTTCTGGGAGGCACTCAAGGTGATCCTAAACTATGCTTAGGCGTAATACATTAGTCCTCACACAATATACCTTGTGACTGAAAAAGATGGATTTGCATCAGTGGTAGTGAAAGCGGTCACAACATTAGCCTGTACAGTAGCTCTAGGTTGATAAGTGCTAATGGAAATGTTGGTAATGGTGGTACTAGTTATGTTTTTTTTTTATTTGCATTTGTATTAGGCGAGAGCTCACAAGCTTCTGGGGATTTTATTGATATTCCAATGCAATCCAAAGATACCATAAGGCAAAGTAGGGTCAACTTTGTCTTATTGTAAATCTGAGGTAGACATAAATTGACAAAAGGCAGAGCTATGTAACTTTTTGTTCAATTCCAGCAGTTGCCTCAATTGACGGCTGAGGGATTCAGACATCGAGAGTACAGTCTGACTCCAGGAGCTGAAAAGGACAGCGGCAGAAAGATGGAGGGACAGCTTGAGGTAAGTAAAACTTAACTCCTGCACCTGTAGAAATCAGACCTACACCAGGTCTGTCACGTTCAGGGATCTTTATATAATAATAATATTATATATTTAAAGGAGAATATTTAGCTTATTCTAAAAAGACAAAATGTAAGTTGGTGGACTCCCTGCAGCAGTGATTTTTATCGGTCAATGTAACTATGATTAACAGCATGTGGAGAGACATGTGAGGTTACTTACTACAATAAGAATTGTCAGGAATTCCAAGTGATTTTAAATTTAAGGGCAAAATAGCTGAATGGGAAACATTCTCCAAATCAGATAGGCTTCCAGTTTGCTTATTTTGGCTAATTTGGAAATTCGCTATGAAATCCCAGCAGTCCTCACTTTAGTAAATACTCCTCCTGAAGTAAGTTTCAGCAGAAACAAAAATACATACAATAACAATTTATAGTTTGGATTTGTATGCCTCATTGCTACTGTGGCTTTCCTTTCTAGCTTTTCCTCTTTTGGAAATACTGATGTAAATCAACACACAGTGGCTTGGGTCTGAACGCTCCTTGAGACCACGTCTCCACTTTCAAAACATATTCGGTATTTGTTTGGCCTAGAGCCAACCAAACCTGGTCTCAGCCCCTTGGACATGAGGTCTTCTACAGGGCAGAATACTAATCTACTGAGAAAGAAAATAGTGCCATTTGTTAGGGTTGTTTGGCCTCTCACGATTAGTAGTGTAAAGTTAGAAAGGGTGCTGAAGTGAAAATGTGTAAATTATATTTGCCACAGAGACCAAATACAAAAATTTATAATTATTAGCTATGCTAGATTTATGTTAAAACAGATATAAAATAACTAAGAATGCCCCCACCTATTTAGCAACATCATTTATATCATTGTAGAATTCTCCAGTGTACATAGGTAACTTAAAAACGTCCACAAAAACTTTAATCTATCTTGAACGTTTACTAAAGGGCAATGCATTTTATGTATTAGGTATTTAAATAAATGGGCCTGTTTAGAGACGATGAATTTGAATAAGTTTATAGTTTATGTGCAGCTGCTTTCAATTATGAATCCCATGATGCCTGTTGGAAATACTGGCAAACAGAGCATCATGGGAGATAATGATTACATTAATTATAGGAACCATAAGAATGCTCCACATAACTTTCATCAACTAAACAGACTCTGATAACTTTGCACAGTTAAATTGTGACAGTGAAGTTTTCTGAAGAAAAAAGTAATAACAAGTACACAGAAATAGTCAATATTTGTAATTGGCAAACGAACAAATCTGAAAGGCTGCTGCTAGTGATGTTCTATCATTGCCTATGACAACACTTCTACAACATTTAGTGCATAAACAAAAAAGAAAGGAATTGCTTTATAATGATATAAAGTTAAAATATGAAAAGGAGGGGACAGGACGTCCAGTGCTGTTGGAACATTGTATGGCGGACTAGCTCTGCAGCGGTTCAGGCCCAAATCAACATAAAAAAGTAAGCCCACCTGCGGCAACAGCATGTAAGAGAAATGCAAAGTTATGCCCTTTGGGGTTAAGAATCCACAAGCAATTTACACCCTAAATGGTAGTGAACTAGGGATAACCACACACGAGAAGGATTTGGGAATTGTTATAGACAACAAATTAGGCAGCAATATGCAATGTCAATCTGCAGTTGCTAAGGCCAGTAAGTTTTTGTCATGTATAAATAGGAGCATAACTTCTCGGGATGAAAATATAATTTTGCCTCTTTATAAATTGCTGGTAAGACCACACCTTGAATATGCTGTGCAATTTTGGGCACCTGTTCTAAAGAAAGATATCATGGCACTAGAAAAAGTGCAGAGACGAGCTACAAAATTGATAAAAGGAATGGAGCATTTTAGTTATTAAGAAAGGTTAATTTAAATCTGTTTAGTTTGGAAAAACGGCGCCTGAGAGGGGATATGATAACATTATACAAATATATTCGGGCCCAGTACAAACCTTTATCTGGAAATCTATTCATAAACAGGGCTATACATAGGACACGAGGTCACACGTTTAGGCTGGAAGAAAGGAGATTTCATCTAAGGCAAAGAAAAGTTTTTTTTTACAGTAAGAGCAATAAGGATATGGAATGCTTTGCCTGAAGATATGGTTTTATCCGAGTCTATACAGATGTTTAAACTGCAATTGGATAAATACTTGCAAAACTATAACATACAGGGATATAATTTCTAATTAATGGGGTAATAGCTGCTTGATCCAAGGAGACATTTGACTGCTATTTTGGGGTCAAGAAGGAATTTGTTCCTAGTTTGTTGCAAAATTAGAAGCGCTTCAGACTAGGTTTTTTGCCTTCTTTTGGATCAACAGCAAAAACATATGTGAGGAAGGCTGAACTTGATGGACGCAAGTCTCTTTTCAGCTATGTAACTATGAATCCCGAAGTTCCCCCCATGTCAGCAAATGTGATAGTACCGCAGAAAACACCAAAGGCACAGGATTTTTACTGGTCCAGCAAGAAAGACAAGCCGTGGCCTTACCAAGATGGCGGAGCTGCAGTATTGATTTTGCGCCTCTCGGGCATAGGATCTGAGGCTAAATTCATGGGATCACAAGGGGAAGAACGCTAGATCATGGAGAGGAAGATGGCAGCTATGCTGCAAACCCTCAGATCCTCCCTAAGAGAGGATTACAAGGAGATTGCAGAGGACATTCGTAAAGAGATCCAGAGCTTAGGTACAAGAACAGAGGCAATGGAAAACAAAACAGATGATCTATGCACAGCCAATAATGAAATGGCAGACAAAATAGCTAGGATGGAGGTAGAACAAACTGACTTGAAAATCAAGATGGCGGACATGGAGGATAGATCCCGCAGGAAGAAACTTCGGTGCGGGGAGTTCCTTAGAAGATTACCACGGAGGACATACCAAAATTAATGCTGGAATATTTTAAACTCCTTTTTCCAGCCACGGCAGAGGCAGAACTCTTGATGGATAGGGCGCACAGAGTGCCAAAACCCCGCAGCCTTGCTTTGGATATACCAAGGGACATAGTGGTGCGACTACACTACTTTCTTGTCAAGGAGGCATTTATTATATATAATTTTATTCAGGAGAAACAGGGCTTTAATCTCTAATGAACTATTCATATATGAAACATAATTCATTATGAATAAAATTTAAAAAACTGTGAGAAATTAAGATTTTTAAAAACAGTTTGTAGTTCCGCCTGACATTTCAGCTGTAAATGTCATAATACTGTTAGCTTTTACTGCAATAAATCTTCCCTTTTACTAAAAATATCATAGTTGTAATAGAATTTACCATTTTGAAACACTAATATTTGTGGTCAATGAAGTCTCTGAGTAAAACAGTACCCCCTATATTCAGGTTTTAGAAGCGTTTTATGGTGTCTTGGAAGGTTTTATGGTGTCTTGGAAAGTTACAGGGTTAAATATAGTGTTTGCGAATTACATTCTCTGCACTTTCTGCCTGGGTTGTCAGGCATGTCAATCAAATTTAATTAATAAAATCACAAAATTATGCTAAAAGATTATTTAAATATACACATAGAATTTTAATATATATACATATATATCACAAAAAAGATGGAGTAGGGCTGCGACAATATGAATAAAATAGTCTTAGAGAGGGTAGGAGGTCTCGCTAGAGTAGCAGTAGATAATCAGGGAAACTTGATAAGATGTATTCTCTTCAATGGGAGTGGATACGTCTCTGGGTGTTAGTTCGTATATATGAAACAGAGAAGAGGCAGAAAGCAACCAATAGTGCAGTACATTTAGGGTCTAAAAGTGCATAAAGTAACAAGAGGTAGAGAACTCACATTTAAAAGAGCTATGGCCAGCTCTGGTGTGAAGAGCATACAGTAGTATAATCCCCGCTTATGGGATGTGGGAAGATGTATCCATCAGCACCGTCTGGTAATCCAAAGCTCCAAAGGGAAGATAAAAGGCAACAATAGTGCTCTCAATTGTGATAAAATAGAGTATAAATGAGTGATAAGAATAATACTCACAAGTGTAGAACGGAAACACTGCTCTATTGATATAGAGTTGGTGATATGATCCCCACCTCAGATTCACTTGGAGTAACAGCGTAGGGCAGGCTTACTGCTCGATGGTATCAGCTCTGGTGGTATAATCCCTACCTCGGATTTCTTTTGATTAGTAGTAAAATGCCAAGTAGCAAAGGAATTATATTATCAAATATATTTTAAAATGGTAAATTAAATTTATTTTTATTTTTTTTTAAATCTTTATTTTCAAATTTTTCGTCTTATTGTACAAAAAGATATTAAACACACATTCAAATTCATACACATAACTACAAAAAATAAAAATAAAAAAAAAAATAAAAATACCCATCACCTCCCGAGAGTTCCACTGACTTCCAACTTCTCTATCTCTTTTCACATGATATTAAAATTACAATTGTAATAATTTTTTTTCCCAGTTTTCCCATAGGCTCAAATTATCATCCAGAAACCTGCAATGATCCTTCTCCATTTTAAGTTGGTAAATCAGCTGAATTGTTATTGTCTTGATGTTAAAAGGGGTATCTCCCTTCCAGTTCCTTGCTATTGTTATTTTGCAGGCCATTAAACAATGAATAATTAAAAATTGATTTGTTTTATTTAATCTTGGCCATTTGTAATGTAGCAACATCACCTCCGGTTTTAGAGACATTTTAACACCGCATAGCCTATGGATGACAAGCTGAGCCCACTGCCATACAACAATCACTTGTTTACAAGACCACCACATATGAACATAATTTCCTTTTTCCTCTCTACATTTCCAACACTTTGTGTCTCTAGATACGTCAAATTTCGCTATTTTCGTTGGCGTCATATACCATTGATTAACCAGCTTAAAATGTGTTTCTATCAACACTAAGGAGTGGACATATTTATTGATTTTTTGTAGGGTAGATGTCCATTCAGATAGTTCTATATTTATTTTTAGTTCACTATTCCATTTTTTAATAGCACTAGGCGGAGCAGAATCGTCCAATAAATCTAACATCCTAACACATCTAGAGAATAACTGCTTTATCTTACTCTGGTATAATATTGATTTTAATATATCATACATCTTACCCTCTTTTACTAACTCAACTTTTTCCAAATAATGTTTTACTCTAAAATAAGTATATACATCTTTAACAGAGATCTTAAACTCCTCTACCAGCATTTTATAAGGTTTGATTTTATCCTCCTTAATCAGATCTTTTATAATATTTATTCCTTTTTCTTTCCATGATTTTAAGGATATACTCTCCATATTTAATTCTATTATTTCTAGTTTTTGATAATCAGGGAAACTTGATAAGACATATTCTCTTCAATGGGAGTGAATAAGTCTCAGGGTGTTAGTTCGTATATATGAAACAGAGAAGAGACAGAAAGCAACCAATAGTGCAGTACGTCTAGAGTCCAAAAGTGCAGTATGTAACAAGAGGTAGAGAACACACATTTAAAAGAGTTATTATGGCCAGCTCTGGTGTGAACAGCATACAGCAGTATAATCCCCGCTTATGGGATGTGGGAAGATGTATCCGTCAGCACCGTCTGGTAATCCAGAGCTCCAAATGGAAGATAAAAGGCAACAATAGTGCTCTCAATTGTGATAAAATAGAGTATAAATGAGTGATAAGAATAATACTCACAAGTGTAGAGCGGAAACACTGCTCTATTGATATAGAGTTGGTGATATGATCCCCACCTCAGATTCACTTGGAGTAACAGCGTAGGGCAGGCTTACTGCTCGATGGTATCAGCTCTGGTGGTATAATCCCTACCTCGGATTTCTTTTGATTAGTAGTAAAATGCCAAGTAGCAAAGGAATTATATTATCAAATATATTTTAAAATGGTAAATTAAATTTAAATTAAATTGCCACAAACCAGGCCTATTTGTCCAACATAATTCCTGTATTCAGTAGTAAAAGTAAATATAAAACATCCAAATACGCATTTCGCCGATGTGGCTTTTTCAAAATGGGAACGAACACCCTGAGACGTATCCAATCCCATTGAAGAGAATACGTCTTATCAAGTTTCCCTGATTATCTACTGCTACTCTAGTGAGGCCTCCAACCCTCTCTAAGGCTATTTTATTTGTATTGGCACAGCACTACTCCATTTTTTTGTGTTGTATTTGATCCTAGAAGGACTTGAGGGGTTTCCTTCGCTTGGGTTGCTGCCCATTCTGCATATATTGTGTGTTGATTAGCACTGAATTCCTGCTGTATTCTATATACATATATATGTATTTAAATTATATGTGTAAACTTATGTAATCATTAATGTAATTATATATATTTATCTATACATATATTTGCGGTTATTTGTATTTTATATATAGAAAGATATATATATAAAATGTCCTAAGTGTATTTTGTTACATATATATATATATAACAAAATACAGTTAGAATGAAATTACATATGTATACATAATTTAATTTTTTTTAAAAATATTTTATTTTATTCATTATTGTAATTATACGTACATATATATATAAATATAATATATATATGTTTTATATATAATATATATATCATATATATGTAACTTTATTCTAAGTGTATTTTAATACCAATATATGTACTTATATTAACATTAAAATACACTATGTAAGATATATTTTATGTACACACATATTTATTTAATTTTAAACAGGTTTAATTTTTTTATATATATACTTCCCACCAGCAGGGGGACTGTCTGACAGCCCAGACAGACCCCTGCAGGCAGATCCCCCTGCAGGCACTCTTTGAGAGCGATCACATGGCCCCCGGGGGTCTGATTTGCCATGTGAGGGCTACCTGGGCTGTCAGGCAGTTCACCGGAGCTCCAGGGGTAGAAAGACGTTACAGCGTTCTATGCCGCCGCGACGGCTTTAAAGCCCATTATATGGGGGACGGCATAGAACGCTATAACGGAGTTAAGGCGGTTAAATTATAGGAATTCATAGAGTCCATGCAGCCATTCGTTTAAATTACACAAATATGCTTGGTAGGCTATTGACCCCTAGAGGTCATAGGAAAGTACTACATGTATTACAATTTATCAAATAAATGTGTTTCGCAAGTTAAATTCAGCAGCACTTTGTCGCTATTTTTCTGTCTATTTTCTTGATACATTATTAACATGTTTTATAGGTTGCCAAGCCTGAAACCCCCTTTTGCTGTACCTCTGAGGTTGTCAAGGCTTATAAATACTGGTTGACTCAGGTTTCAATTGTCACACTCTTTAGGTGGGTTCTGTTAATTTTGATCGGTTAGTAATCAGTTATGCTCTCTTGAAGTTCTAATGTTGGCCATATTATATATGTTGTAACACACCACCTCTTTTCCAGGTAGGATTTTGTCACAGATCTTGTGACCACAGCCTTCTAGGGTAATGAAAGTCCAGTACACATCTAGCTCAGTTTTTCAGATTTATTCGGTGAAATATATATACAGGTGTTTCAAAAATGAAAAATAAACAAAACAAAATTCCTTGCTCTTGCTTGAGCACTTACTATACACAGCAAATCCCTATCTGGAATTGGGTGGCTTTCCCACTTGCCAATTTACAAAAAGTATACCTGCAAGACACCATTGCTCTCGCTTTTCCTCCTCACTCTGAAGCATGCTGATCCCTTCTTTTTAAAAGCCTGCTAGCTAATTGATCAGATACAGGTGAGGTGCAATTAGACTTAAGTGAAACAACTAAGCAAAAGAAAAGTTCTGGTCCGACTGTCCACCCTGCTCTCCAAGTGCTCCACCCCAGGGACCCATATCGTGGTTTGCAGAGTACCAGTAATACATCTTGCAAACCTAACATCTCTCCCTGGGGCCAGGGCCGCCATCAGGGCATGAC